GAGCCTTAGAGCTTACTGTTTAGGAGGCCTTCAGGATAGAAGCCATGTTAGAGGTGGGATACTTATTTCTCCCGAAATCATCTGCAAAAGTAGAGGCAACATTAAAATCTGTACTATAGATATGTACTTACATAGGGCTTCAGTGTATACCTTTCAAGGCCATTAATTCGAAGTCCAGGAAAAACGTTCTTCGGTTAATTAGGTAGTCGAAATGTTGTGAACTGAAGGACATTTGTAAATGTCTTCGTGGCGTCCACTCCGCTTAGGAAAGCTCAAAGAGAGTCCCTAGAATGCAAATCACAAAGCGTCAGGTGAAATTACAAAAAAATGGCAAGTCTAAAAGAAAAGAAACTCACGAGTTTCGGAGTATTGGGTCTACACGGTGCAGGCTGGGTTCTTATTAATAAGTATATTTTATACATTTATTAAGTACCTAAAATATCGATATTTGGTAATTTTTCTGACAAAATATATCCTAAATTGTTGTATTTTATTTTATATAGGTAAAACTCAATGGTTGAACATGGAATTGAAAGAAAGAAGCGAAAATTAGTAAAAATGGCAAAATCCAAAATTTGAGGACCAAATTAAAAATATTCAATAGTTGATTCGGACCACAAGATGATACTTTAAAGATTACTAAGAGACAATTGGATGGAATTAGAACTCAAAAAGGAATAGAATATGATCAAAATATTATCAAAATCAACTTCCAATCGCAGGGGTTATATTCCAAATTTTTAGTCAAAGATTGAGATCCATTTTTGGCATAGTAAACGTTCAAATTGGAAACATTTTATTTCTATTAAACTTGTAGTCCTTTGAGTTATATTTTTAACACACTTTTAATTACCTCAATCGAATATTGGGAAAAAAAAGTTATGGTCAAAATACTGACCACTATGCAGAGAGGAAAAAAATTCGCTCTCGAACTCTTTTATAAACCAATTTGGACGTGATTTTCAATTAATTTTCTATTCCTACAAATACGTAATAGTTGAATACATATTAGATACTTCTCATATACATCTCATACTACAATACTCGTCAATTATCATCATCAAATGATGAAAATTTATAGTTTTTGTGAGAGAATTGAAGGGGACTTATAATAATTCAATCAAGCGAAGATTCAAACTTTATTTTTGGGCAAAGAAAAGAAGGCGCAAGTGGAGATTTATCAAGAAACCATTAAAGAGATTCGAAATTTTAAAATTCATCTTCATCTTCTCAATTTATCAAAAATCTAGGTTATGCATTTTCACTTAAATATGATTTCTTGTAATTTCGATATGTTATGCCACTTTTATACATTGTTAGGATGAGATGAACCTTTGCATTGAAATTTTTAATATTAATTAATTATTTTGACTACTAGTATGTTTATTTTCTTGGATGTTTATTATTGTTTTCATCGACTTTTCAATTAATTAGCTACTAATTGAGATGATTTATTGGAATCTATTTTTATCGAGAGAGATAATAGGTTTTTAGTTAAAAATAATAAATATTGTAAAGTCCAATAGGGGATAGAGATATAGCTCCATGCTTTACGTGGTTTTCATAAGTGTTCTAGATCGTTTAATGCATTTATGATATTCGCATCTTTCATCGAGAGATGGGAAGGTCACTTGAAGAGAATAGATTTGATAACTGTCAAGAGAGGTTTTCAATTACATTAGGAACATTGACCAACACGAAAAAATGTCACTATAATTTATTGTGTTTAAAATGGATTAACGAGGAGGATTCGACATCTTAGCAATAATTTCACATATTTAAAGAAAAACAGTTAAATTGCTTTCTAGTTTAATCGATAATTTAGATATTAGTATAGAAAACTTAAAACATATTTACTATTCAATTAAGATTGCTATTAATTTGAACTCGGTTGAATACTTAGTTATCGTGGGTTCAACACTCTACACATTACTATATTACTTGTTCAGGATCCCGTTCACTTTGTGAAAAATCAAAGATCACTTATTCTCCTTAACCAACTGCCACTTACCTCTCACCCAAAACCATGACTCCTTCCACCCCTTGATGGATGATGGCAGACCTACTACGAAGGGGGCATAAACCTCCCATGGAGTCATGTAGTACCACCCCGTAGACTCTCATTTCCTAAGTAGCCGGGGTTGGAAAAGTGTTTGGAAGACATGAATGGGCATATCCTCGCCAAGCGAGGTCTCCTTCTAAAGGAAATATGCCCTGACCTATTGGTTCACCCATTTGGCAATAATTGGGTCGGAGCTAACATGTAGGACCTCAACGCCGCCCTAAAAAATGGGTGCAGAGGTAGAAGCATACCTGTCCTAAATAAGAACTTGCTAATTGTCACACAACCTGGCCTCGGATAAGAGGCACGTTCATGGGTTTCGGGCTCTAAGAGTTCAACGGAATCTAGGATTCTATATCTTTCTCTAAGTTCAATCAATTTAGCAGAGGTTATAGCAAAAGGGATTCTTATAGCCTCCCACCCTACCTCGTAATCAATGGGACCTTCAGTCATTGCCCAATAACCTCCGCGACCTCCCAGGCGTAGCTTGTTTCCCAACCCTGGCAATAGTGACCATCTCATCGCTAGTACTCGACCTGGAAGCGATTGAAATTGAAAAAACTAAAAATGGAAATGATGGGAAATAGAAAGTTTTAGAGAAATTACCTAAATAAAAAGAAGCTATATGAAAGCGATGTCTCTGGAAGATAAAAACAGTTGGAAAATTTTTGGATTCTAGAGAGATTTGAAGATTTTTGCAAAGGTAAAAAACTGATACAAGAGCATGATTTTGGCTTTCATAGGAAGAAAGGACGAAACTCAGCCATTGGATCTAGATCTACTTCATTTGAAGTTTCCGTTTTTAACTTCATCCAAGGCGTTGAATTCAAACAGTTTTTGATATTAACACCTCAAATTGATGTGTGTCTCTCATGCATGAGCCTCGGCGCATCAATCTAAAATTGTAGCAGTGTAGCCATCATTGTGTATTCAATATGTAACAGTTGTACATGTATTGGAAGTCGAAACACCTCAGTTGTCTGTCCTTGGTAACGTACAAAAACATGAAATCATTGGCACAATTATCAAAAGCATCAACGAGGAGCTTCAGCTATTCAGCACTTTCCTGCTTCGACTCATCAAATGAATTTTAGCTATTTTCAAAATAAGGGGCTGCAGCAGTTCAGCACTTCCCCGCTTCGGCTCATCAAAAGAAATTCAACTATTTTCAAAACGAGGATCTTCAGCACTTCCCTCCTTTGGCTCATCAAACGAATTTCAACTATTTTCAAAATAAGGAGCTTCAAGAGTTCAACACTTCCCTGCTTCGACTCATCAAATGAATTTAAGCTATTTTCAAAATAAGGAGCTCCATCAATTCAGTGTTACATAAGGATAGGATGACATACGAAAATCACGTTCAATTTCAAATCCATACTTGGATTTAAGGGACTATTGTGTTGTCGAAAACCTAATAATGACAGGAAGACCTATCCCTAAGGAATTCCACTCAAGACAGAAGTCCACGCATGACATGAATAACCATACATGGACTAGTGAGACTATTGTTATGCTTCGCTACCTAGGCTCCCACGTGGCTCAGCCGACCCACCGATATCCCTTCTGTCAAAGCCATGTGGTATCCAACGTGAAGTAGGACTTACCAAAGTCTAGACAAATTTGATCCACCGAAGTCCACAATTACTAAATCGAATCATGAGGCTGACCCAGCCGAAGTCTGTCTGCTAAAGACAAATTCGAGTCCAAACAAAGCTTCTTTGCTGAAGTGGTGAGGTTCAACTAGTAGAGTCTGAGGCTCAACTAAGATTGGTAACGATCCAGGTTTGAAGATCTTGAATTTATGAAATTCTTTTAAAAAGATTAATTGCACTTTTCAATGAGTAGAAAGATCAATCTTGTCAACATAGGTTATGGGGTGGCCGCCTCCTTTTTGAGGATATTTAATATGCTACATGCTAGTGGAGTCAAAATTGATACCTAAGATAAGATACATCGGTTAAAGAGATGAGGCAACGTGTCCGCCGATCCTGTGAACACTATTTCACATGTAACATTATATATATTTCCCATTTGTGTCATTTGGAGGGGAATGCAAATATATCGGCTGCAAGTCATATAATCTCCTCATTTTTTATTAATCTTTGATTTTTAATGTTTGAGGTGTGATCTTGATCTTAAGTTTGACTCTTAGTTGGTCGTTCATTATCATGTAATTTATCTCATATATGTCGTGGAAACCCGAATATTTTTGTCTCGTGTTATAAAACTTCTCTAACGTTCAAACCTCGTTTTATTATCGATTGACAATCAGTCCACGCGTGTTGAAATTAGCTTGAGAAAACGCGAGTGGGCCCGGTATTTGTTGTTTATGTCAACGGTGCGAAAAACGAGGTCAACAAACTTGTCGTGAATAAAATTTTAAAAAGAATGTAAGTTTGTTCATAGTTTCATAATTGTACATACTGAAATTATGCCAACGGATGCACAATATATTAAACGATTGCACATTGTAATATCTTCAGCTCATCAATATATTTTGTGCCGAATTAAACTCATCAATATGCTATATTTAAATAATCTGCTAGATAGAGGAATTTATTTATTTATTTTCCGCACGGCTATGATGTAAAAATGAAATAACATTTTTTTTTTTTTTTAGAAACTTTGATGAAGGAATTGGATTTTCCTACCCTTGTTATATATGAAACGAGATTACACGAGAGGAGGAGAACTATACCTAACCTAAAAAATTACAAAGAATTTCATATGAATAATAATTAGACTTGAACTACGATATATATTTACTTTTATAATCTTTTCATCCAAAATTTAAGATTATAGAGTAAAACACACAAGTACATTTTCTTGGCCACGTGAATAATTTGATTCCAGTTACACCAAAATCTCAGCCCATCAACACATTTCTGCAGAATTAAACTCATATAAATGCATAATATATATAACAAGTTAAACATCTTCATTTATAGTATATAACAGGCATATTTGCTTTGACATCCCACATACCCCCCTCCTTGACATACTCCATATACCTTGAGAATTCAGGTTTTGCTGTTGCCTTCTTCCTTTTCCTGCTTTCAAAAAGACTGAAAAAGGGGTGAACCTTACTGGCCTTCTTAACCTGCTCGGTTGGATTCGTACTCGGCCTGGCTCGACTGGGAACGAGATTTAGATTCTTGGATGAACTGAGGATTTTAGCAGGCAAGCTTTTGGCTCTACTCAACTTAGGTAGCAAAGAAGCATTAGAGTGCTCATCTGCAGCAGTTAACTGATCATAACCCTTATGGCTTCTTCTGCTTGTACTCAAAGCTCTAAACATTCTTCACAAAGAACTAATGATCTGATGAAAGAAGGGTTGGTGAAGATGATAAAGAGTTTCTTGTTAATATACATGTATATGGATAAATTTCATTCGCAGTCGCTTAACTTTAGGCGGAATTTCAGTTGGGTCTCCAAACTTCAATTTAGTTTCAAATTTTATTGTTCTTTCATATTCCATCATCTATAGTACTCGAAATTGGCAAAAATTACTTGTTGGTTGTCATAACAATACTAATCTTCCACGTAATCATTATGTTGACAGCTTAAAAATAAAATAGTAAAATGAGGTTATGGCAATCTCTTTAGATTACGTGGAAGATTCATTGTTGTATAAATGTTAATTAAGAAATTTTCATTAATTAGGGAGAGGGACGTGATAGAGTGATAAAATTTGAAATAAAATTTAAAATTATCGATCCAATTTAAATCGAAGTTCAAGTAACATAATTGAGAATAATTAAAATTTAGTGACTTGATTGAGATTTTGTTGAAAGTTTAATGACCTTAGGTTAAATTTAGCCATATATATGTTTCCATTTCAATAATTGTTGGTTTATTGTTTGTTTTGTTTGTTTGGCCCAGTTTGAAAATAATTGCAAGTTGATGCTGTCTTTGCTGACTTATAGACCGAGAGCCAACTACCATGAGAAGATTGAGGGAGCTTGTCTCATGGCTCAGGAAACAGACAAAGGATTCAAATTTCGTGTTTGCTTTAATTGAGGGTTAAAGTGTCATTTTACAAATTTCAGCAAAATGGTGAAGGATAATTATATCAAACAACACATTTTATTATCTACACCACATTATAATTACAATGAAGATCCTTAATATTTGTTTACTATTACAATTGTATCTTTTTTTGTCGCAACGTTATTCTTAACCTTCAATTAAATTAGTACATCTTATTTGCGATGATTTTTATCCGAAAATTATACTAATGTGTGTTAAAATATTATTAAATTGATTTAATAATTTTAACCACATGTTTGATGTAAAAGTCAAAACTCTCTTACAGGAAAATCAGTTAGGAAAACTGAACCAATGTCGGTTCAACTACAAAAATTACGAACTCATTTTAGTTATAACAGAAAAAAGAAAAAAAAAATGTAAGAGAAATAAAAACCATTTAAAAGAAGTCAAGAAGATCTGGTTGCTTCATTAAAAAATGTGTGTTTTTTTTTTCATATTTCTTTACCACCGGTCTAATTCATGACCCTTTTTATCTTTTTCGGATCGATAGCCAAGTCGACTTTAAAAATAATGGTAAAACTAGTTCGGCAAAATTTTGTTCTCAATTTTACAGGTAAAAATATTGAGGAAAAATACATTGATTTCTATAGTTCCACGATACACTTTAAAATTTAAAAAACTTGTCAAAAATCAGATGGTCACAAATGATAAAATTTGTATGACTGTTTATTAATTAAATATGTTAATGTTAAAATATACAATTATGGTCACAATTACGTACTAGTCACAAACCACACAACGTTACAGTAAAACAGATACAAAACTTGTGTCAAAATTACAAATTTAGTACAAACCACAAAATTTTATAGGTCATAATATATTTATTGATCACAAATTACCCATTTATTGTCATAATTACGTATTAATTACAAATTACGCAACGTTACTGTCATAAAGAAACAACAATCACACAATTTTATATGTCAAAAATTATTTATCAGCCATAGATTATCCATTTTATTGATCACAATTACCCAAATGATTAGTCATTAACGATCTTCATACCACACCACTCCATTCCACCATCACTCCACCATTACCGGCACCACACAAACGTCGCTACAACTTCACTATCACTGCCACCACCTCTGCCGCCACCCCCACCACTATTGAACCAACAACCACCACCTCTCACATCTACCATCACCTCCACCTCCAACTCTACATCTAACCAACCACACATGGACCACCTACACTACACAACCACCACCTCTACTATAATACCCCAAAATATTTTATAGTCATTAATTATGAAAATTAGGACCTTAGTGCAAGATGATGAAAGTTAGGGAATAAAATTGCATATTGACCAATAGTTGAGTAATTACAAGTACAATTTCCCGAACTATATATATGATATGAATATGTATATATATGTATGTATGTGTATATAATATAAATATGATATATATAATTTTAGTATATATATGGAAATATTGGATGGAATTAAGTAAACTTTCTTCTTATATATGAAGAATAAGTTAGGAAGATTAGTTCATAAATAAATCAACTACCATGTATGTGTGAATATATAATTATGTATGATTACGATTGATTAAGTAAAATTATAATATTATTATAATTAGGCCCGTTTATATATGTATAATTATATACAATTATGATTAATTGATTTAAATAATGTGATTACTATAATTAAGTGTGTCCATATATGTATATAATTATATATAATTATGCCCAATCGATTTAAGCCCCCGTTTGACATCCGTTTTTTCCAATTTTTTCAACAGGAACTTACATTATTGTGGGTCCCAATGTCCTTCAGTTCCGTCCTACTCACCTGACTTTTGTTTAAATTATTATTTTCGGGTATAATAATTGTTAGAATAGTTTTATATTTTTCTTTGATTCTGAATATGCCCTTGAACGGCTTTCAAATGCTTGTGTCAAAATGGTTGAGGGCAAGGATGTAAAGTTGCAATTGAATCTGGGGGGTGAAATTGTCCAAAGATTCTGAACGGCATTAAACATGCCGACAAAAAAAATTCTGAAATTACACAGATTTTATCAGGAGTGTACTGTAGAAAAATGAGATGGAAAAGTAAAACGGATGTCAATCGGGGGCTAAATTATAGGATTACTATAATCATGCACATCTATTGTTGTATATAAGTGATTATGATTGATTGTGAAAATTAAGTAAATTTCCTTATATGTGAAAGACAAGTTATGAAGATTCCTTCCTAAATAAGTAAACTATCATATAAGTTATGAAGATTCCTTCCTAAATAAGTAAACTATCATATATGCGTGAATATAATAGATATAATTATAATTGATTCAATTCATTGTATGATTACTACAATTACGTGGGTCTATATGTATAATTATATATAATTATGGTTCGAGTTAAATTATAATATTACTATAATCACATTTGTCTATGTATGTATAATTATATGTAATTATGGATTATTGATTTAAATTATATGATCACCATAATTATGTAAATTGTGTGTGTGTAACTATGATTGTCCCACACTAAACACACAGTTCATAAACAATTGTTTGATGCCAAGTTCTTTCATACGTGTTTTATGAATTCCTCTTCAAATTTACGAGGTAAGTGTAGTAATATGTTATATGTTAGATCATTTTTCATACTTTAAAATACAGAATTCAATTTATGAATATGAATTGGATCATATACTTTTAATTTCAAAGGACCGGAGTTTAGTAGCGCTACGTACAAGAATTATAGCCATGAAGTTCAGATATTAATTCCCGTGTCTCTCTATATATGTTATGATTATGTACGGGGATTATGACCACCTAAGTTCGGTTTCTAATCCCCGTGCCTCCCTATGTACATTAAGAATTCTTAAATTTTAAATATGAAATACGATTTATGTGGCTTACTTATTGGAATTTTATCTCATTATTTATGATTTTCTCCCTTTTAGGTAATTGAGGTTCGAGATTGATGAGAATGTACAATACTATATGTTTCATCCCTTTATCTTATACTTTTGTGATTAATTGATGCCTAAATGTACTCATTATTCTTATATTTTGATTTAGGTTGCAACTGGATGAATATAGTGGAATTTAGAGCACTACAACAAAAACAGTCATTTGTAACACCATAAAGACAACATTTATTGATAAATATTTTTTTGCAACATTTTAGTAAGTGAATGTTGCCATTGGTTAATATAAATGAGCTTTGGCAACGCTTTTTAGAAGAAAGTTGTGATAGACACCTTTTTGTAACGTTTATTGAGTGTTGCGGAAGATTTCACCTTTCGCAACGTTTGTCTTTTGCAACGTTTGACAAATGTTGTGACGTTGCAAAAGCATTTGTGAAACGTTGCGAAAGGCACAACGTTTGTCAAACGTTGCTGAAGGCGTCACTGGACGTATATATAACTTGCCAATTCATGGTAAAGAAAACACGGTAATCGCGTTAGTCCCCATTTTCCCCAATTCAAAACCTTACAACATCCCGTTCTCATTTCTGCCGCAAATGACACCTATGGCAGCCCAAAATCTTCACTCCCGTGTGTACCTACAGTCAGTTCCAGCCGATGCCCCAATTTCGACTATCTCTCCACAGTATCATCGAAGAGCAACGAAGCCCACTGTGAAATCGAGTATTCATTTCTTCGCTTTGGTTTAAAGTAAGCATTTCTAAGTTATATTTGTGATGTATTTCTAGGTTATTTTTGTTTCTTTACATTGGACTTTGTGCTTCTTCCTTTATGCAATCAAAAAATTAAAATGTCGTTTAAACATTGCAATTGACAATCGGTCGGGAAAATTACCCACCGAAGGGAAAATGAAAGGGGGGACGGAACGGGCTTCATATGCTGTCGGGGTATCTTCTTGTCAAGATGAGGGTAGGACTAGGATTTTATTGTTAGATATCCAGAGGAGATGAGATGAGGTGAGTGAAACACGGACAAGAAGAGGTGCCATTTCCTGTGAGCACGAAGCCTCAATACTAATCACCCCAGGCTTATTTTGATATGCAGTTCAATTGTTTGTCAAAATGCCTTATTGAGAACGTTGCAACAAAATTCAGTTCAAGTGTTCAATGTACCGTGAATTCTAGAATCTATTTTTGATTGTTCTAATATGTTAGTTTTGCACTATGGAATTGTGAAAATGTTGGGCATAGAGTGAACGTTTTTAATATTTGTGTGGGGATTTAAGCCATTTAGCCTTTATTAAGGAGTGTGGCAACTGATGATTTTATAAGCAGAGGAGCAGGAAGACTGAAATTATAAG